TCATCGTCGGTCTAGTTGCACGTTCATCGTCGGTCTAGTTGCGCGTTTGTCGGTCTAGTTGCGCGTTTGTCGGTCTAGTTGCGCCTTCGTCGTCGGTCTAGTTGCGCCTTCGTCGTCGGTCTAGATGCGCGTTCCTCGTCGGTCTAGTTGCGCGTTCATTGTCGGTCTAGTTGCGCGTTCATTGTCGGTCTAGTTGCGCCTTCGTCATCGGTCTAGTTGCGCGTTCATTGTGTTGGAACACTCAGCAGTGACCACGAGTGAGGGAGGTGTCATGAAGACCTGTGGGGTTCACTGTGTCTGTGAAACGTCACCTGGCGGTTGACTCTTGATCTGAGCAGCTGCCTCTCATGTGACATCATGAACACTGCGCCTTATTTATTTTTATTGTGCGGCTCATATTTGGGTGCGCTCTATAGACCGGCAGTGAAGACTGAATGAAAGTTCACACAAATATAAATATGAGAATCAGAAATTAAAAGGAACTCCAGAATATTTATTGAACTTAAACAGTTTGTGTCCGACTTTCCTCTAAACCAGTTTTTACATTTTGACACAAACGCCTTAAACAAACAAAAACAGCTCAAAAGGGTCACTTGCTTGCTCTGAGCATGTCGAACTCTCGGTCGATGAGCTCCTCCTCGGTTAGTTTAGAGAAGTTGTCTTCTCCGAAGGGGTTCCAGCCCGACATGTCGGGGGGGTGACTGCTGCTGCTCTGAGCGGTTGGAGCGACGCCGTCGGTGGCCAGCAGAGGGTTTCTACTGCCGGGAGGGAATTAAACAGACTCAGTGACGCCACACCAGCATTCCAAATACTCACCCGCCTTTTAATTATTATTTCAAATAAACGTGGCAGAATTTATCTCAACCACTAATTTGGTGGAGTGACCAAAAAGCTAAATATTTGTTCCTGGCAATAAAAATATTAGATTGTAACTGAAGCCTAATCATTTACAGACACCTGTTTATGTATCTTCTTAGTTTTTATCGTGGCTGTTTGTAAAAATCTGATACTTGTTTTCCGTTTGCAGATGAAAATTAATCTTTCATGTTCCCACTAAATGAACCTGGGAACGTTTCAGATGAAAAAAAAAAACATCTTTAAGGATTAATAAATTAATAAAGCCCAGCTGTTGCGTCAATCACTTCAGAAAGTGAAATTTTTCAGGATTACAACTTATAAATAATGAAAAAACAAAATTCAGTGTCTCTAAAATGAGAATACTGTGGACAGGTTTCAACTCCTGGACCGGAGACAAAGAACTGGACTGTCCCTCAGTGGTCCAACGTCCTATTTTCAGATTAAATTAAATGTTCGTGTCATTTGTAAATGGAGGTCTCAGAGTCTGGAGGAAGAGTGAAGAGGTCCAGTTCCCACAGTCAGTGGTGGTTTGGATCCATGTCCTCTGCTGGTTCTGGTCCACAGTCCACGCAGCAGGACATTTTTAGAGGCTTCATGGAGATGCTGGTTCTGGAATATTCTGATTTTCTGAGACACTGGGTTTTTTTTTTTTTTTTAAATATTCCTCTGTGAGTTATAATCAATAAAATTACAAGAAATAAAGACTTTAAATATTTCACTCTGTAAAAGATGAGTTTCACTTTCTGAAGTGGTTGACAAACAAAGTCTAAAGAAATAAAGAAAAGACATCTTGGTCTGCACACACTTGTCCAATGACCCATTTGAAGAATGTTACCTGGTGTTTGTGTACAAGGGTTCCACAGGTGACGGTCCTCCCATCTGGCCCAGTCCAGGTCCAGGAGTGGGTGTGGTGGCATTATAAGAACCCACAGGGATCTGGAACTCAAGAGGGGGAGGCATGTAGGGAAGAGGCTGCTGCTGCTGGATGAAGGCCTGCTGGTACTGCTGCAGCTGTTGGGGAAGGAAGAGAAGGAGAAGAAGGGGACGGGAATGAAGGACGGACCGTTGATTTCATGGCGCGTGATGAGGATGAAATGTTAGAAACCAGTTCTGGAAAGCCGGGGAGACGGTTCAAAGGGGGGTTTGGGGGGGGAGGGGGGGTGAAGGAATGAAACTGCTCTTAATACGCCAAACTGAACAAATGAAACTGTGCAGGAAGTTGCGCCTGCGGCCGGGTTGAAGTTAGAGTCGGGTGAAAAACGTTCAACCAACAAATGTCAGATGTCTTTGAACGCATCACCGACGCTTTCGGAACAGTTGGAAGTTGAGCTTCGTTCAAGGATCGTGGTTTTGTTTTTATATTTAGCCGTTTGTCTAAAACCACAAGCTTAACTTTATCTTACAGTTCATGTTTTGGTTGATCGTATATTGATACCAGAGTCCTGTCTGTAAAAATCTGAGCCTTTAAACAGAAGTCTGAACCAACATGGGAGTGACTTTTCTTTGAGGTTTTTACGAAACTGCCTATATTAAAACGAGCGGTACGTCGACGTCCGCCGCAGCTGAGGGATTTTTAATTTTAAATGTTTGTAGTTTTGAAGACATGAGTGTTTTTCTGGACTCGAACTGAACAGAGAATGTAAGTAAACCTAAATGTTTTTGGTGCAAGTGGGTAGGACTGTGGAGAAGAACAGGGGGAGGGGGTTTAGTTAAGAGTGAAGGAACCATTTTATCCACCAGGTGCAGTGGAGGAGCCAGGGGGTGGCCAATGGTGGCCCCAACCACCACAGATTAATTTGCAGACTACCCAATCATTTTAATTTAGGCAATATAAAAACCAGAAAACAGTTATCTATATGGATGGTGGCCATCTTGGATTTTGACATGGCAACTCAAATTGTAACAGGGACTTCTCTTACTCCTAGATGAAGCCATACACCAAAATAGAACAAAGAACGTTGCTTACTCTTCAAGTTATCCAGCTCATAAGGTTCTCACATGGACATTTATGGCAGCAGCCATCTTGGATTTTGACATGGCAACCCAATTTTCAAAAGTTAACTTTCTTACACCTACATGTAGCCACACACCAAAAAGGAAGTTGGTGCCTCACTTACTTTTCAAGCCATCATGCTCACAACATGCACCACAGATGGACATTTCCAACTCACCCTCTTCACTCCATGACGGAGGACAATAAATTGAGCGCAGGTGTTCTTAAATAGTGTTTCTCTTAAAATAAATGTTTAACCATCTTTGCCATTCTTCAAAAATATAAATGTTTCACTGAAATGTTTGCTAATTTGAATAAAGCACAGATCTTTGCTGCTTGGTGGCGTCCTGTGTTGCGCTGATCACACGACACGTTTGTAGAATCTGAATCCAAACCCAGTCATTCACGGGTCACACGTTTCTTTTCGTAGAAGCTCGGTTGCTGCTAAACTGTGAATCTGTTATACGTTTTCATAACTTTGCATGTTTGTTGCTCACTTCCCTGCCGTACTTTAAAAAGTGCCAGCTGAACGACGCTCGTCTGACACCAGCGACCCAAACAATCAGTTGTTTTTACGCGGAGCCGGTCGAAGGCCGCGAAGGAAACGTTCGGCAGGTATCTTGAGAATAAAAGCCGACACGCTCTCCTCCTCTGCACGTGAACCGCTTCGCACGTCGGAACAAAACGCAGGCGAAAACGCTCGGCTTCACCCTCTGTTCGATCCCCCAGTGGCTCCGCTCAGACCAGATTGCTTCTGAAATAAAGCAGATGGTGCGTGTTCGGAGGGAAACGAGCTAAAAATCGCTCCGCCCTCACGGCGCACACTTGGAGGACCTGCGCTTGTGTTTGATTCAGTAGCTGAATAAATACGAGTTCTCTGAATGTTTGGAGAGATTCAGCAGGAAGTTTGAGCGTCTGTTTCTGGCGACGTTTGGCACAGACGCGAGGAGACTTGAGCGAAGACGACTTGCTGCCAGTTTCTGGAGCGGATGAAGCAAACTTGAGCCGCTCTGACATTTAATAAAATATGCAGCTTCGTGGTGCTTCACGCTGCGCCTCCATGTGTTTTCCTGTTTGCTCAAACTAAACAGTTCTGAATAAAATCTGATGCTCTGAGACTCGTTAACGGGACAAACGAAAGTAACGTCGGTCTGATGGAGATTCATCAGCGCATGCATGCGGTGGCATCGTGTTGAGAGCTGTCAGAACTCACCATGGCAGCATATTGAGCCTGAGCGACCTGCTGCTGGTACATCGGCTGCATCATCATCTGCTGCTGCTGCACGGCCTGTTGGTACTGAGGAAAGAAAACATTTAAAATCTTATTCCTTCTTAGAAACCCTCAGACCTGAGGTTTAAAACCTTTAGCTAGGTGACTGAGATAGGACAGACCCAGACCCCTCACAGATTATAGTCTGAACACGACCCGTCGAGCCGAGATCTAGAACCTCATACTGAACTGAGTTGACCAAAATCCTTCAACAAAAAATGTCTGAATTTTAAATATTCGTACTGAACTGCAGGAAGTTATGGGTGGGTCTCTGCTGTGGTCACTGCATGACACAGAACAACAGTCTGAGCGGTGTTATGCTCTGCTAACAGGACCGCACTGCTAACAGGACCGCACTGCTAACAGGCCCACGCAGCTAACAGGCCCACGCAGCTAACAAGACCATGCAGCTAACAGAACCATGCAGCTAACAGGACCACGCAGCTACAGGACCACGCAGCTAACAGGACCACGCAGCTAACAGGACCACGCA